ATTTGTAAAGATTTTGGGTTAAAACAAAAAAAGCAAAGATGGACGGTACAGAGATAGACAATGGCCTGAATTCAATCATGTGTTGATTTCCATTGCAGGTAAATACCATGCAGGTAAATACAATGCCGGTAAATACAATGTAGGTAAATACCATGCAGGGCTGAGATTCGATCTTGGTTGACGTCAGCCTGTGGACACAGCTGTCATTTGTTATTCACATTACAGTGAGTATTTCAAACAAAAAGAAAGCCAAGGCCATTCCTATTCACATATTTTAAAAGTGCAATTTGAGTATGTCTATTGAAATAAACCAAGAAAAAAAAATCAAATATTTTGTTGAAAGGTACAATGTTTCTGTATCAGATGAAAAGGGGACAATTATTTTTGCACTGTATTTTTAAAGCATTATTTTAAACCGATGTTAAAGCAACATCTCCTTTTGCATTGGAATTGGCAACTTCCTCTGTACTGACATAACAATACTTCGTCTGTGCTCAAAGACCTATGCTTCCGCTATGCTCAAAGACCTATGCTTCCGCTATGCTCAAAGACCCATGCTTCCACTATGCTCAAAGACCCCTGCTTCAGCTGTGCTCTAAGCCTTATACTTCCTCTGAGCTCAAAGACCAAGACATCCTCCTTAAAGACCTATACTTCCTCCATGCTCTAAGATCTATGCTTCCTCTGTGCTCAAAGACCTTTACTTCCTCTGTGCTCAAAGATCTATACTTCTTCTGTGCTGAAAGACCTATACCGGTCCTTCGTCTATGCTAAAAGTCCCTTATTTCCTCTGTATTGACAGACCTCTACTTCCTCTTTATTGACAGAGCTCTACTTTCTCTGTATTGGCAGAGCTCTACTTCCTCAGTATTGACAGAGCTCTACTTCCACTGTATTGACAGAGCTCTACTTCCTCTGTATTGACAGAGCTCTACCTCTTCTGTATTGACAGGGCTCTACTTACTTCAAACAAACAGAACTATGAAGTTAGATTACATGCAGCATGCGGCCAGAACGAGCAGATCTATGAAGTTAGATGACATGCAGCATGGGACCAGAACGAGCAGAGCTATGAAGTTAGATGACATGCACCATGGGGCCAGAACGAGCAGAGCTATGAAGTTAGATGACATGCTGCAAGGGACCAGAACGAACAAATAAAAGGAGCGTTTTTTACCTTTCACCAACGTACGAGCGTCGATGGAGGTCATCAAACGTTGATTAGTTTAAATAACATTGGCTACGTGATGTATTTGTTTTGTAAGTCAGGTGAGGTGTAGCCACAATTTTCCATAACAGGTGTGTCAATGGACAAAATGTTCATTGCCAGGTGTGTCCATGGCTACAATTTGATTCAGATCATTAAAAAAAAATACTGCGATTGGTTTAACACTCAAGATATTAAAAAAAAAATTCTTCTGCAGCTGGATGAAGACTGCCACTTAACCTGACACAGATAGGGCCTTCATAAGACTTGGTGGACAGTGGTCTATACGTCTGTCGTGTCAAGGCCCCAGAAGTAAAAACAAACACACAAACATTGCGAGACGTAGTCAGACGGAAAATTTACTCAGATGTGATACGTAGGTAGACGGGAAACGTAGTCAGATGTGAGACGTAAGCAGACGGGAAACGTAGTCAGATGTGAGGCGTAGGCAGACGGGAAACGTTGTCAGATGTGATGCGCAGCCAAATTGGAGACCTATCTCGGTAGAGGTACTCTGACGTCAGTCTGTCGAGACATACAGGAGACGTTAGTCTGTCAAGACGTACAGGAGACGTCAGTCTGTCAAGACGTACAGGAGGCGTCAGTCCGTCAAGACGTACAGGAGACGTTAATCTGTCCAGAAAGGTATGCGACGTCATTCTGTGCAGACCAATAGAAGAACGTCTTGACAGAAGTGACGGGTCAATGTGTAAACATGAACCCATAATAGCCAACACCTGTTTACAAATGAATACCCCTAAAGGCGTACTTAAGGTGACTTTACACTTGGCTAACTCACAAGGGAAATTTCCCCGTTAATTATAAAGTTTTAAAAAAAAAAAAAAAAAAAAAAAAAAAAAAAAAAAAAAAAACATTAAAATAAAAAAAAAAAAAAAAAAAAAAAAAAAAAAAAAACAACAAACTTTTAACCTTAGAACAACCAAGCTTCCCAGCTCCATTCTAAGGTTTGGGTAAAAAATCTATCTAAGTTTTGGGTAAAAAAAATCTAAGGTTTGGGTGTAAAGTGTACGGTTTGGGTAAAAATATCAAAGTTTTTGGTAAAAAAATCTAAGGTTTAGGTAAAAAATTTAAGGTTTGGGTGTGAAGTGTTCGGTTTGAGAAAAAGTCTAAGGTTTGGGTACAAAATGTAAGGTTTGGGTAAAATATCTAAGGGCAGGCTAAAAATTCTAAGATTTGTGTAAAAATATAAAGTTTGGGTAAAAAAGTCTTAGGTTTGGGAAAAAAATCTAAGGTTTAGGTAAAAAAGAGGGGTTGAGTTAGGGGTGGGTGAAGATCGTTTCAGTGGGAATTTCACGTCGTGGACAGGGTTGCAGTTGGGTCGGCCTTTGAAGGTAGAGTTTGATGATATCATTGAGTGTTGATGGCATCATTGAGTGTTGATGGCATCATTGACTATTGATGACATCATTGAGTGTTGATGACAGGGGATAGACTTTTTTTTATTTGTATTGAGCTAACAAAGACAAAAACAGCTTCCCTATATCGTAGAGGCGTAGCTCGAGTGTTTGGCGCCCGGGGACAAAATTTATTTTAAAGCGCCCCCCTTTTCTTTTAAAATTGTCAAACCCAGTATTTTCATCAATAAAATAATATCAAAGCATATTTTTGCGCCCCTAACTAGCTGGCGCCCGGGGACTCTATCCCCCCTGCCCCCCCTTTTTTTTCGCTACTGCTTTTGGGTGCAAATAGATACCCTTGATACATAATTGGTGTTGACAAGCTTTATAGTTACCGTTATTTCCAAGGCCTCAAAGTCCTGGCGGAAATTAAACATACAATAGTGAGCTTTAACTGAACCTTCCCCTCTAGTAAAGCCAGCGAGGGGTCCAGTAAAAAAAAATGAACAGTTATGCTGTAGTAAGTTTGTCGAGCCGCTACTAATCAACGGTTGATATGTGCTTTCAATTAACCGCCATCGCTCTGTCAATTTGAGCACCGCTCCAGGACAGATGAGCTTTTTAACTGTTCAAACCCGTCAGACTTTTAGTCAAATTAACGGCTTGACAAACACGACCCCCCCTAAATCACGTGACGTGACTCTCGCCATGTGTGGTGTTGTAAGTGTTTGGCCAGTCGCCTGAGGTGGGATTCAATAAAGTGGGGATAAATAGTTTGGGACGTCGGGAAAAAGAATAGATGGGAAAAGTCTGTCTAGAAAAAAAAAAAAATTAAACTTCAAAACTTCATTACGCGAAAATGCAACTAATTTAGCCTTCCATGTTGCAATTTGAGACTGTATAACAACCCACTTTGTATTTTCTTTGTAAGCTGAGTGAATGCATCGATTGACGAATTGATATACTATTGCAAACAGAATGTACTGCACACATTTGCACACTTGGTACACTATTGCAAACAGAATGTACTGCACACATTTGCACACTTGGTACACTATTGCAAACAGAATGTACTGCACACATTTGCAATTGCAAACATAATGTACTGTACACATTTGCACACTTGGTACACTATTGCAAACAGAACGTACTGCACACATTTGCATACTTGGTATACTATTGCAGACAGAATGTACTGAACACATTTGCACACTTGGTATACTATTGCAAACAGAATGTACTGCACACATTTGCAATTGCAAACATAATGTACTGCACACATTTGCACACTTGGTACACTATTGCAAACAGAACGTGCTGCACACATTTGCATACTTGGTACACTATTGCAAACAGAATGTACTGCACACATTTGCACACTTGGTATACTATTGCAAACAGAATGTACTTTACACATTGGCACACTTGGTATACTATTGCAAACATAATGTACTGCACACATTTGCACACTTGGTATACTATTGCAAACAGAATGTACTGCACACATTTGCAGACTTGATATACCATTGCAGACAGAATGTACTGAACACATTTCCACACTTGGTTTACCATTGCAAACAGAATGTACTGCACACATTTGCAATTGCAAACATAATGTACTGCACACATTTGCACACTTGGTACACTATTGCAAACAGAACGTACTGCACACATTTGCATACTTGGTACACTATTGCAAACAGAATGTACTGCACACATTTGCACACTTGGTATACTATTGCAAACAGAATGTACTTTACACATTGGCACACTTGGTATACTATTGCAAACATAATGTACTGCACACATTTGCACACTTGGTATACTATTGCAAACAGAATGTACTGCACACATTTGCAGACTTGATATACCATTGCAGACAGAATGTACTGAACACATTTCCACACTTGGT